TCTAGTAACATGTCGTGACTTAAACATAAGAACATATTATGGCTAAGGCTACAGTTATACACATCATAATAATAATATTAAACACCCTGTCTGCTGACAGTCATCAACTCTTCTCTCTAGTTATCCTTGACCAGATGTACCCTGTAGAAACTCATAAGCATGCCTAAGCATTTAACAGTCTAACTAGACGTCCTATCTCCACTAAACATTTCTAATACATAAAGTATCTATCCAATATCTATCTGACTAAAAATACCTAACAATCCTTTAGCAGAACACAGTGATAATAGCACATTTTCTAATTGCTACCCTGTTAGGCTGGTTTTGCTTTAATGTTCTGCAGAGCTATTAGATTATTGCACACGAGTGCTGGTGCCAGAGTGCTGCAAAAACACAAATCATAAGTGTGACTCAATGATGGGGAGAACTTTACATCTAGTCTGAAAATGAGGCTGATGTAATGGTCATACACTGTAAGAAGGCTGTACGGGGCCAAGCTGATGCTACACGTCCCCCACCCACATCCCAAAGAGAAAAGCTCTGCTGGCCTTATGGGGGGAGGAGGGGTGTGAATAAGGAACAATAGGTGGAAGATTACTGCTTCACCACTAGGTGTCCTGGATAAAAGAAAGAAGCTAAGAAGCCTGAGATGTAACTGTTGTCCTTTGGCTGATGGTGTGATGTCCACCTCCAACTAAATGGGGCCAGAGTTCTCCCGTCTCCCATTAAGACCAACTGGTTCAGTCCAACTGTATGAGGCGAAGCATTTAGAGGAGTGTGAGCGACAGCACAGCCAGCAGCCTCTTTGTGGTGAGAGGTGCGGAGGCTACATCTTCCAGGCTGATCTCGTCAGGCTGCCTGACAGATTTAAGTTATCCCCTTCATCTTTTCTGTCCCACAAACCAGGAGGGCAGTAGCATCACGCATCCATCCTGCTCTTGTTCAGTACTTTCACTCTTACCTTTGTGCATTCACTGTCTCTGTCTGTTTTACTTATTCTGTGTTGTTGTCTTCTTTAATATGCTTCTAACTGATTCCTATTAGCTGTCATGCTGTGGCATCTCCCTGTACTGTTCATGTCAACAGCTCTGTGCTAGTTGCTAATTTCATGAACCTGAGTTTTAGAGCATTAATGTCCTGATGTAAAAATGCCAGTGCAGAGGTTCAGCCATGTCTCGTGATCCCATTTTATTGTGACAATAGTCTGATGTAAAAGACCTCGATACCAGAACCTTAAATCAGCAGATAAATTATAATCTTAAAAGTGGATGCCTCTCTGGACTTCTCTGTCCCCTACACTGTCCTCTTCTACACCCCCCACCCCCACCTTTTACGCAGCCCATAAAGCAGGGAGCAGCTGCCTGTGCAGCCAAGGGTGTGTCACGACCGACATGAATGGGGTCTGTCTTGCTATGGGGGATGGAATAAAAGAGGGTCGGGGGGATGAAAAGAATGATGGATGAAGGGTTGTGGTCCAATTTATCGCCACTGTCAGATGAGCTAATCTGT